GCGAAGTAGGTGAAAAATCGATAAGCTGGTTGGCAAATTGCCAGAGTCTGCCAGTCAGATTGTCAGGCAAATTGGGTGTGTTGTCTGCTATTGCAGACATTGCTTCGCCTTCGAACCCTCGCCCTAACACTCCCTTAACCGCCGTTCTTCCAATGTGAAACTCGTCTAACCCCCCTTTTCAGCTCTTTTTTGACCCTTTCTATTTCTTTTTGTTCATCGTTTTTTGCCCTTTTTTCGTTGTTATCGCTTTATTCTAGAGTATTTCTATCAATTCCCGTCAAAAAGAGTACCCTAAATGAATAAAGTCTTACTTGTTTAAATAGCGAAGTTTCGATTTCTTTTTGATATCCAGCCTGTAAGCCAATACTGCTTAGGTCATAGATCAGGAAAAGGTGACTCTTCTTCCGCTGGGAAATCAAATTGTGAACAGCACTGACTTAGTGACGTAAACTCAAGAACGTTCAAGTTTTCAAAGCAAGAAGGTATCAGCGTCTATCTAGGTTTTTGGAAGGTTTTGATTTTTACAAGTAATCAAAGTCCCATGTCTTTGAGCTGCTCTTCCTCAGCTTCACACGGTGTTTTGTTCAGTGCATTGGTGTTTACTTCGAAGCCTAAATTACAATAATTACACATAATTATCCGCCCTAGAGATACATCCCATTAATATCAGAAATGGAGGTGTGGGGGAGAAGTCTTTGGAAGTGGTATTGCCTGTACATTGCCATGCTCGTAATGTTTTAACGGAAGTGGTCTAGATAGCGAGTGCTTCGGTCTCTTTACCTGTTCCTTCTAGCTGTTTTTGATCACTGTTCTATCAATTCCTCCAACCGCACAAACTTTTTTTGTTTTACTGAAGTAATATTGAGGTACCAATATGTAATAGATATTATAATTATAAACGGGTTTAGGTAGTGCAGTGACAAGTGGTGCACCACCACACACGCATGGCCCAATGATTGATTCCTTGGTCGATATCGCCTGAGCTAACCAGTTCACTCCCTCCTCCAGGGTACAGCTGATACCAAACTCATCTGGGTGGATAAAAGCACTAATTTGTACTTGGGGTGGCTGTAGCAAGTCATTGTATGTATAGGCCACATACACGTCCAATACNACTGAAGTAATATTGAGGTACCAATATGTAATAGATATTATAATTATAAACGGGTTTAGGAAGTGCAGTGACAAGTGATGCACCACCACACACGCATGGCCCAATGATTGATTCCTTGGTCGATATCGCCTGAGCTTACCGGGTCTTGCACCCCTCCAGGGTTCAATTGATACCATACTCGTTTGGGGGGATAAAAGCACTAATTTGTACTTGGGGTGGCTATAGCAAGTCATTGTATGTATAGGCCACATACACGTCCAATACACCACTACGATTCCAAGTGGATATCGAATGCGACGGCGCACCCCTCAGACGGGTTTGATTGACGCCAAAAAATTCATTCTCTATCTACTTTTACAGTTGTAAACATCGAATGAGGGAATTTTCAACAATCGTAGTTAAGTGGTCTTTCAGGCTCACATACCTCCTTGAAAGGCACAGTTCACGGTAAGAATGGATTCTGAGATTCCCCCACAGTATGAATTCGAGGCCTCTGCGTATGCCATATCTGGCACTGTTAGGTCGGAAAACGGCCTAGTTAAGGAGTATTAAAGGCTCGAAAATTGGCCAGTGTGTATCCTCGGACGAGTTTCACCGGCATTGTAGAGGCT